TGATGGAATTTATGGAGGATTATGACTTTGAGTTACACTATCATCCAGGAAAGGCCAATGTGGTGGCCGATGCTTTGAGTCAAAAATCTGTGAGTAGTTTGGCAAGTGTGGCCATTCGGGAATGGGATATGCTAGATGTTATTGGCAAGTTTGATTTGCACTTAAGGTGAGTCCGGAGAGAGTGCTACCTTGTTTACTTTGAATGCTCAACCTACCTTGGTTAGTAAAGTCATAGAGGCGCAACGAGGAGACCGTGATGTGGAATCAATCCGTGTTAAGATTTCCAATGGAAAGGAAGAGAAAGGTTTGAACGTTCACTCGAATCTGAGTGTACGTTACCTAGACCATTTTTTTGTACCAAAATCTTGTAGAGAAGAAGTACTTCGGGAGCTCCATCACTCACGTCTTTGTGGTACACCCGGGAGGCACTAAAATATATCATGATCTTAGTCGTCAGTTTTGGTGGAGGGGTATGAAATGGGATGTCGCTTTATATGTATCGAAGTGCCTTACTTGTCAACAAATGAAGGCCGAACACCAAAGACCGGCAGGTTTGTTACAACCCTTACCGATAGCCGAGTGGAAATGGGAGTGTGTTACCATGGATTTTGTAGTTGGGCTTCCTAGAACACAACAAGGCAATGACGCCGTTTGGGTGATTGTTAATAGGTTGACTAAGTCTACCCATTTCATTCTGATATGCACTAGTGACTCAGTTGAATGCTTGGCAAAGTTGTACATTAGAGAGATAGTTCGGCTTCATGGAGTCCCTATGACTATTGTGTCGGATAGGGATCCTCGTTTTACTGCCCGGTTATGGCAAAGCCTTCAAGAAGCGTTGGGAACTAAATTGACTCTTAGCACTACTTATCATCCTTAAATCGATGGACAGTCAGAACGTACCATTCAGATTTTGGACGACATGCTTAGAGCTTGTGTCTTTGATTTTAAGGGGCCTTGGAAAAGGCACTTACCATTGATTAAGTTTGTTTACAACAATAGTTACCAAGTTAGTATTGGGATGGCACCACTTGAGGCCTTGTATGGCCAACCTTATGGATCACCGATTTTTTGGGCAGAAGTGGGTGATGCACCATTACTTGGTCCGGAAATTGTTAGAGAAACAACCAAGAAAGTTGTTCTCATTTGGAAGAGATTAGTTACGGCCCAAAGCCGACAAAAGAGTTATGCCGATAAGAGGACACAACCTTTATCTTTTGAAGTTGGTGACCATGTGTTTCTAAAAATCTCACCAAGGCGGGGTTTGATGAGATTTGGTAAGAGTGGTAAATTATCTCCAAGGTTCATTGGGCCTTTTGAGATCTTAGAGCGAATTGGGGAAGTGGCATACCGGTTAGCTTTACCGCCACAATTTCAAGAGTTCACAACATATTTCATGTAGCTATGCTTAGGAAGTATGAACCCGACCCTTCTCATGTGCTTGATTGGGCTGACTTGGAGGTAGATGAGGATGCCTCTTACGAAGAACGACCGATTCAAATATTAGATACTCGGGAGCAAGTGCTACGAGGCAAACCTATACCGTTGGTAAAGGTGTTGTGGAGACACCATAGGGTTGAAGAAGCGACACGGGAACGGGAGGCGGAAGTTTGCTCCAAATATCTGGATTTGTTTGAAAATGCTTACGTTGCTTTTCTTTGTAATATTCCTTAGTGTTGAGGGAAACGTATTTAAAGTTGTTAACCACATGTTGATATGTGCGTTGTTGTTTTAAGCATAAGGTTGTTGAGAGTTGCCATTACTTTTTGGGAAATTTCATGTGTATGTGTATTTGGGAGGTTGTTGTTAATGAGAAAACCATGGTGGAAATGGTGGAATTTGGTTGAGAGTTAGTATTGTGATTTGAAAATGAAATAGCGTGGTTTTGATCGCTAGAAACCCTTTGTTTGGGTAGTTTGATTTGAAATTTCAAGAACGAAATTCTTTAAGGGGGGAAGGTTATAGCGATCCCAGTTTTGCCACTTCGCTGAGTATGTCAGAGATTGAGCTGCCCGGTCAGCTCGCCGGGGTCCAGGGGGCAGCGCCCCGAAGCAAAAATGCAAAATGCATTAGAAGTTGCTTGTCCGCTCGAGCGGCCGTTTATGCGCTCGAGCAGAGAATATTTGGTTCCAGAAGTTTGACCTGTCTGCAAAAGTACTGGGAAAGTGTATTTGACGCTCGAACGGGGCTTTCCACGTTCGAGCGGACCATGTTATATCAGTTCGTGAATCTGATATTTCAGATCACTTTTGTATATCCCTCTCTCTAAAAACCCTTTCCTCTCCCTTCTCTCTACATTTCCCTACGCCAAATCGGATCAAAACCTTGATTTCTCAAGATCCATTAGAGTTCTGCCATAGGTCCTTCATCAAAGTTGGTTAACTTCTCGAGGGCTTCATTGTGTGCGGTGAAGATCGAGTTTCGACACTGTTGATTTTGGGGGTTTTATCTCATTTCTTCTTCAAAACTTGAGGTAGGGATTTTCTTGGAGTTATATATATATATATATATATTCAAGATCTAATGTTGATTTTGGAACTCCCTCTTGTAGTATTGAACTTGATTTTGGTCTATGAGTGTTTGATTATTTGAAAAAAAAAATGTGTTTATTTGTATAGAAATTGAATTCTATAATATTTTCATTTGTCTCAAAATTATTATTATTTGTTTGTAAAAATAAATTTTAGGATAAATTATACCGACAGTTCTTATATTTTGCTTTTGTGTCATTTTAATCTAACTATTTTTAATTGACTCGATTTTGGCTATATATATTTTTTACTTTGTCCCAATTTGATTCAATTCATTATAATTGCTAATTTTATTTTTTTTAATGAAAAATACGGATATAAGCGACATGTAGCACGTAAGGACAAATTTATATACTTTATCACTTAAAATAAAACACTACACACTAACCAAGATAATCCAAAGATCATTAATTTTTCATAATCATTTTCATGAAAATTTTTTCTTAATCTCTAACTTTTCTCTATGTAGAGCTCACGTAACTCTATTCAAAAATCAACCAATAAATTCTCCTTAAAAACGGACAGGTGCTTCTGTCACAATAGAGTGTTGTGACAACCAACCGTAGTGTTTTGTTTATTAAAATAAATAAATAAAATTTTTTTTGAAACACACACATGTTTTAAGCTGCCGTCTTGCTGTTGTGTTAAGTAACTCTTTAGGTTTAGGTGGCCTTTAGAAAAATAAAGAGAAGTTATAAATAAATAAATAATGAGTAAATTTGTGATAAATCTAATCTAAGAAGGGTATAAGGCACTTGGTTCATTTTTTTTTTTTTTTTCGATAAGAGGTCTACCTTTCGTAAAATAGTTTAGTGAGAAATCCTTTTGTTGTTGTGGAAGAACGTTTTGTTTTCAATTTTACCAATTGACTTTTTTTTTTCTTCCTCTATTTGACTTCTTATTGACTATCTGTTCAATTTTTTTTGTCTATCTGTTCAAATTTTATAACTATCTGTTCAATTTTTCCCCTAAATTCTATCTATCTATTCAATTTTTTTCCTAGATTTTATGTATCTATTCAATTTTTCTTATCTGTTAAAATAATAACTTCTTATTTGTTACCCAAATTTGGAAGCCCATTTTTCCTATCTGTTTGAAATTCACAAACTAATTTTTCTATCTGTTGGAATTATCCACCACCAACAGTCAAATATTACGTAAAAATTTACAAACTAATTGTTCATTGAAGATAATAACATTCATATCTGTTCAAACACTTTCTACAAACCACTTCTCTATCTATCTATTCAAATAATTCAACAACTACTATGAACAGATCTAAATTTGAACGGAGCGTTGTTTTTGAATCACTATCTATTGGAATACTTTGCTCATCAAATCAACCACTACCAACACCACCGCCACCACCACCAACAACAACAACAAAAACAAAAACAAAATGAACAACAACAACTACAACAAAACAAAAAAAAA